TTTGGTCTGGGGGGCTCCAAAAGGAGGAAAACTGAAGCGGACTTGGATTCTTCTGTGACATACAAGTTAATTAAAAACAAAGGATTCTGAAAATACAGAAATGGCCAAGGCTTTTCTTCAGACCTTGGTAGCTTAGGCTTTCTCTTTCTTGACCGGGCAGTTTAAGATGCCATCCTCCAATCTCCGCCATGGGCTTGAAAGACTGTGTTTGAAGGAGCCGGCGGTGACAAAAGTCCGTAAGCACAGGGGTAGTTGGCCTTCACCTGTCCCACTCCCCTAAGTGATCATCACTTAGGTGGTCCTGAGCCTTAGATGTTCACTTGGGTCCTGAGCTAGTGACTGTAAACTCAATGGAAATGTTTCTTTCAAATCTGGATAGCTAATATTTACTGTCGTACAGTAAAGCCATTGAATATTTCCTAGATTTCTTTAAACTTGTTGTAAAATGTGCATAACAAAATTTACCATTTCCACTTTTTCCATGTGCACCAGTCATGCTCACCGTGTTGTATAACCATCAGCGCTACCCATTCCCGGATCTCTTCTTCACCCTTCACAGAGCACAGTGTGAACCCTTATAAGTAGGGAAGGGACACGCCCAGTCAACAACTCCTGTCGACTAAATCTATTATATTACAAACTGAGCCATGAACTCGAAAAAAGGTAAACTAGAGGAAGCTTTTTCATGTGTAGACTTGAGAGGAAGGCAAAAGAAGGGCGTGTGACCAGAATGCTTGGGGGGGGGGGGGGGCTTTTAAACAGGGATAATGGTGAGTCAAACACAACAGCTAGGTATAAAATGAAACACCCAAGTGTCCAATATTTTAAAAATTAGTAAATGTCAAAGCTCCCTGGGGTGGTGTAGTGGTTACACGTTGGTTACCGCAAAGTCAGCAGTTCCAAACCATCAGCTGTTCTTTGGCAGAAAGACGAGGCTTCCCCATAACGATTTCCAGCCTCTGAAACCCACAAGGTCAGTTATACAGTGCCCTATAGGGTCACTATGAGTAGGAATTGACAGTGAGTTTTGAGTTAGTAAGCTTAGGACAATATATGTGTAATTTATAAAAATAATCCTTTAATAAGTGAACATGTTACATTACATAAGATGGCATATGAAAGGTTTATATAGTATGCTTTCAACCATTAAAAGTAAAGCATGCATAGAAAAATAATTTTTAAAACAGTATGTTATCAGCGGTTGCTTCTGGAAATTAAATTACAGATGAACCTTTACCTTTTTGTTATTATTTTCTATATTGTATATATATCACTTTTACAATTAAGGGGGAAAGGAAATTTTAAAAAACCTTTTTTTAATGCTCTTTTTAAAAAATATATTTTCCTAAATATTTTTCAAGCCAGACATAAAAATAGTTCTCTCTGCATCAGTCTTTTCAGCTGTATCACTCATATCCTAACCTTTCTGAGTTTTCTGGATGAAAATAACATACTAAAGGGTTAAGATTTACATGTATTTATAATACATAACAATATAATGAAGTACCGACTCAGTAAGCATAATTTTGTTTCACAGATTTAATAGAATACGTTGAATATGAAGACCAATTGTTCAAGCTACAACAATTAAAAATAAGTATAATATTTTCCTTCATGTTCTCATATGATTGGCCAATTTCA